GATGTGGTGATTATGTCCGTCGCTGTTGTTTCAAATAACGGTGGAGACTTACTGATTGCCCACTCTGTGCCAAGCACTGCTCTCATTTACCTATATCATCCCACTTAATCCGCCCCCCACACACACACACCAGTAATAGACACTTACTGTCATCCCCATAGTGGATCGGAAACTGAGGCAAAGAGAGGTAGTCATTTGCCCCAGGTCACACAGGGAACCGCCCTCAGCACTGGAGTATACCGTAGGTGCTTGAGAAGCCGGGGGGCTTCCTTTAGCCCCGCCCCCATCTCCATTTGAAGCCCCACCCCACCCCTCCCCACTAGCTCCTACGTACCTGCCTCAGATCCCCTCCCCTCGGGGCCAGCCATGAGGGCCTCATCCGACTCGCTGTCTGAAACTTCCAGGGTGGGGCTGTCCAGCAGGAGATCCTCCTCCTCCGACAGCACAGGGCTGGGGTATGGGGCATACGCCGGGGGGCCCATGGTCTGCAAAAGGTCAGGATCACCTGCAGTCCAGGGACCCCCTTCCCTCCCTTCCTCTGCTCTCTTCCCTCGGCTCCCTCCTCCTGGGTCCCCACTGTGGCCCTCCCCACTCTTTACAGCCTGCACTCTGGCCTTGATTTAGATCTCTGTGGCATGGCCAAGGGACGCCCGGGCCCCCTCCCTGAAAGCCTGCCCAACACAGATCATGGCCTTCTAGGCTGCCGCTTGCCTAACATCCGTGCCTGTGTTGTCTGGTCCGTGCAATGGAGTGAAAACGGTGCTTAACCTCAGAGGTTTACAAAGGCTTTCACAAGCTGCCTGGCATCTAGTGAATCTTGATCAAACGATGGGGATGTTAATCGTGTCCCTTCCCCTCACCTGGCTGGTGAAGTCCTCCGTGGGGTACGCTGGGAAGCTGGGCCCCGGGGCTTCTAGGCTGGGGGCCGGGTCGAGGTTCCCCACGGGGCTGTAGGTTGAGGGTCCATAACAGAGCTGGACACTCTGGGGGTGGCTGAAGGTAGCCACAGCTGGGTTGAAGGCTTCATAGGAGGCGGCCGAGACAGCTGGACTGAGGTCCCAGCCCCACAGGGAGTCTGGGGGAGGGTGGGAGGGCGCTGAGTCAGAAGCCAGGTCTGGCCTCAGCCCCTCCCGCTCGAAGCCCCCAGCACAGAGAGGCCATTGTGGGCCTTGCAAATCTCTGGCCCCAGAATTTGCATGGGCAAGAGGGTGGGTGGGAGAGGAAAAGGGGAGGAGGTCTGGAGACCTGGGCTAACCTTATCCTGCTGAACTAGGTGACATCCTCCCCTGGGACTCAGCTCCCCCATCTGTGAAATGGGCCCAAGGTCCAGGTCAGGAGGATGGCTAGGGCAGGGCCACTCACCAGAAGCCCCCTCTGAGTCGGGGTAGCTGGGATGTTTGCAGCTGTCCAGGTCATAAAAGACGCCATCTGGGTACTGATGGGGTGGGGGAGGAAGAGGGGTCATCCCAGGCTTCGGGGAGCCCCCACCCCATCCTAGGCCAGCAGGAGGATTCTGACAGGGACAGGGGAGAAGAGGGGAGGGCTGGGAGAAGGAAAGAAAGAGACACAGAGACCACGCACCAGAGACAGGGGCCAAGAGATAGACATACAGAGACACAGAAAGTGGGGACACCCACAACACAGCAGGAACACACACCCACAACACAGCAGGAACACACACACAGAGAATGAAAGACACAGGCGGAGATGCGCAGAAACCCCGAGACCCAGGGTCTCAGAGAGGGACATGGCGGCCAGCACCTGCTAAGACCGTGGGCTCCAGGAAGGCGTGGGGAAAGTGTGGACCAATTCCCCCAGGCTCGCCCGTTGCAGGGGTGGCAGTGTTTCTACAGAGGCAAAGAAAATCTCAATGCTTCTTTATTCACCTCTGTATTGCTTTGATCTACCCCCAAGAATCGTGTGTTGCTTTAGCAATTATAGTAAAGACCAAAGCTAGACACCCAGACATCCCAGCAGCCCTCTCCCAGGTATTCCCCCCAAGGGACTGGAAACCTACGTCCACAAAGTAGCTTTGTTCGAGAACAGCTTTTCTAATAGCCCCAAGCGAGAAATAGCCCGTGGACGGGAGAATGGACAAACTGGTGGTGTTGGGGGGTGTGTGTGGGAAGGGGGGGGTCCTACAGCAGAGTACTGTACAGCAAGGGAAAAGAACCAAGGCTGTCAGTGGAGCACGCTCCTCTCGATCTCGGGTTATGAGTTCGAGCCCCACGTTGGGGAGAGAGTTTACTTAAAAACAACGACAACAAAACAATGCCCGATACACACTGAACGTTGATGAAGGAAGCCAGACCCAAAAGGGGACATCCTGCATGATGCACTTCAGATCAAGGTCAAAACCAGGCAAAACTAATCCGTGTTGGCAAAGATCCCAGGGGGGAGGGGTGATTGTCGATTGGGCATCTTCCAGAGGGAAGGAAATGTTCTATGTGTCGGTCTGGTTAGCTGTTACACAGGTGTGTGTGTAATGTGAAATGTCCCCAGGCTGCACACAAGACCTGCCACTTTGCCAACTTGTAGGTTATACCTCCATTAAAAAAAAAAAAAAAAGCAGAAAACTTGTCAAGTTGGAGGAAGGTGGGACATGCTGGTGGTGGTGGGGTGTCCACGAGTGAGTGAGATTTTAGTTCTTGGACAGAGTTGTGGGTTATGGGTGGTGAGTATAGTATCCTGTGTGTCTGAACTATTAGACTACGCTTTTGAAAATACAGTTTAGCAAAGAAGAGAAGGAAAGAAGGAGTAAATAGGTTTGCTGAATGTGGGGTGGGCGGAGGAAGAGACACAAAGCCAAAGACACAAGGACCCCCATCCCGCCCCATGCCAGGAAGTGGACCCAGAGCCCGAGCGCTGGCGAGAGACGGCAGAGAAAGGTCCATGAAGGGGTTGGGGCAGGTGAGGTGGAGGGTGCTGGTGGGAGATACGGAGGGAGAGTCAGAAAGACAAAGTGACGGGAAGGAGTGGAAGGGGAAACTGAGGCAGGGGGTCAAGGTGGGCCATGTGGGTTCCCCCCGCCACCCTCCCTGGTCCCCGGGGCCCCGACTCACCAGACAGCTGAAGTGTGGCCCGTCGAGCCTGGAGGGGGAGAGACACAGGGGCATGTCAGGGGTGCCTTCAGCCACCTGAGTCTCGGGGTGGTTGGGAGCCGATGGGGCCGGGCTGGGGGGGGGAGGCGGCTGCAGCTGTGACCACCGCAGCTCTTTTGCTGTATGTCCTTGTGTGAGACCAGCCCCACCACACTCGAGCGGGGACAGGAAGTGGGGGTGGGGGGGGAACAGGCAAATGTCCCCCCTCCCCTGGGATTTGCATAGAGAGAGGCTGGTTTGGGGGCAGGGAAAGTGAGGGAGAGAAAGTCCCTGGAGAGGCGGTGTGGGCGCCAGTGGGCCGGTAGGGGCAGGGAGGGGGCCTCCGTCAGCGAGTCGGTTAAATGGGTCCACCTTGGACCAGAGGAGAGATGGAGAGCCGCTGGGCAGGGATGGGAAGCAGATGGGAGAGGAGGGAAGGATGGAAGGTGTGGAGAGAGACATTCGCTGATGCAGGAAGTGGTTGAGTCCCAGAGATAGGCAGATGGGGCCAGGGGAGAGACAGGGAGACAGGAGGAGAGAGCAGACAGACAGACCGAGAACTGGAAAGAGACGGGGACAGAGACAGAGAGGGAGCAAGAAGCGGAGAATAGAGCCCCAGAAACAAAAATGATGTGGCAAGCAGCAGAGTGGGCAACGAGTGAGCAAGCCAGAGGTTTGGTGAGGCCCCGTGGGAGCCTGGGGGGGACGGAGAGGCCGTCAGCAGGAGGGGAGACAGGCAAGCATCCCAAGGAGAGATTGGCGAGGTCGGAGAGAGCCCTCGCCAGGGGGACAGGATGGAGGAAGGAAGCCGAGGTAGGAGAGGTAGAGATCTAGAAGGAGCAAAAGGCAGTGTGGACCCCCTCCCTCCCACCCCCTTGCCCCCTGGGTGGGGCAGACCAGCCCCTTGAGGGAGGCCTGGCAGAGGGGCCTAAGTGCAGGGGGACGCCTTCCTTTAGGGAACCCCACTTACTGTGCGGCCTCCAAGGCGAGCATGGTGGTGCAGGGCTGGGTTTGCTGCCTGCTCCAGCCACCACCCCTATTTATACCTTGGCCCAGCCCCCTGGGGGGGGGGCAGGGGTGCCGGCTGGCCTGCACAGAGCACAGCCCTCCTCGAAAATCCCCTCAGGGAGGGTCAGGGGAGGGGGCTGGATTGCACAACCCCTTGGTCACATGGTGGAGAGGGCAGGCCCAGGGGCCATCTCGATTTGGGGATCCCCACAGTTGGGGTGGGAATGGGGGGCTGACCCTGAGGGGTGGAGATGGGAGAGGAACTGGATTCAGGGGGACCCTAAGGAAATAGGGAAGCCAAGGGGTCCTGTGGTCAGTGAAGTGGGGGTCAGTAAACGGGGTGGGCTCTGGACCCAGGCCCAGGAACCAGAGGGGGAGTGGGTTGCTGGGGATGGGGGACACATGACATCGAGGGGCACATTCAAGCACCAATGGGGTCGGAAGGCAAGGCGGGGCGGGACTCTCGGGAGTGCATGTGGCCGGGGGGCGTCTCTGAGGAAAACCCAGGCCCAGAGCCGGTGAGGACCCCAAGGTGGAAACATCGTGGGTGTATGACATAGAAAGGGGGGGGTCCCCTGGGTTGTGCCAGGGAGTGGGAGCTTCCGTGTGAGGGGCTGCCCCAGGCCTGGAGGAAACAGGTCAGCACCTGGAGGGCGGGGCGGTCCAGGCAGAGGAGGATGTGTGGTTAGACGTTCACTCAGGGCCTCGAGGGAGGGTCGCAGGGGGAGACTGAGGCAGGCATGGCTTTCATGGGGCTGGCAGCAGCGCTGGGAGCCCAGGGGTCTTGGAGGGAAGGTGAGGAAGTCAGCGGGGGTTTCCTGGGGGTCAGGGGACCCCAGTGAGTGGAGATGACCCACCGGGGCCAGGGTTCATGACAGCGGACCCCACCCACCAAAGACCACAAGGCACCAGGAAACAAAAGGCCTGAACTTTATTAATTCTCTGCCAATACTGCCCCCCCACCCCCCAGCCCTGGTGAGACGCCTGCCCTGGTCAGAGGTCACCAGGCCTCAGGGCCGGGAGGGCCAAAGCGCCTCAGAAGCTGCTCCTGGTCTTCTAGGTCCTTCCGCACCTTCTTGCGCATGTAGAAGATGGGGCAGTCCCGGCTGGGGGCAGGGTGGGGGGTCAGGGTCAGGGCTGGGGCGCTGCCCGGCCCGGTGATGGGGCCGGGGCCGTTCCCAGGACTTTGGCCCCCGCCTGCTGCCCACCCAACCCCCCCTCCAGGGGCAGACTGTTTGCTCAGCGGGCATGGGGGGAGCTGTTAACAGCGGGTACCCGCGGAGGCGCTGGGCTCCACCAGCCGTATATCACCTGTCACCTGGCGTGGGAACCAGCCCCGCCCACCTGTTCCCTGGGGAAAGCCTGGCCCGGCCTGGGGGAGGGGGCCAGGGCGGAGGTGCGCGTGCGTGCGTGTGTACATGTGTGCATGTGTGTGCAAGAGCAGGAGAGAGAGAACCGCGGTCATTTCCTGGGCAGGTGCTGGCCCCCGGAGCGAGCCCTCCCCGCAGCAAGGCTGGGACACCCAGAAAGTCAGCCAGTGCGCCCCCCAGGGCCTTCAGGTCAGGGCTCTGGTGCCCAGGCCCGGGAGCTGGGAGGGTGGGTGGCAGGCGGGCCCCCCGCGTACCTGGTGCAGATGACATCCTCGTGCAGGCTGCCCTGACAGCGCTGGCACTGGGTCCAGAGGCGTGAGAAGCGCTCCTCCAGGGCGTTCAGGTGGGACACCTGGGGGCAAGAGGGCTGAAGGTAGCCCCGGCCGCCCCCCCCCCCCCCCCCCGTCACCCTCCCTCCCCTTGCCGCCCCGCCCCTCACCTCCTTCTGATACAGCTCGGACTCCCGAGGCCGGCAGAACTTGCACACGGCTCCTGGCAGAGGGGGCGGGGCGGCACAGGGGAGCTGGGGCCCAGCCAGGGCCCGGGCTGCCCTATCCCTGCTCCTTCCCCACCCGCTGCCCATCCCGGCTTCTGAAAGTCCCCGGAGACAAGAGAACAAGGGAGCAAGTGTGTGGGAGAAAACTCCCCGGGGAACTCCCGGGGCGGGGGGCCCAGGACCCTCGAGGGGGTGCCTGGAAATGGGAGCCCCCACCCAGGGGCCAGGGCCCATCCAGGTGGCACTGCCAGCTCGTAGGGCGGGGGCCGGGAACCTCAGCGATGGAGGAGCCCGGTGGAGGGTGGGGGGTGGGGGCCTAGGGCCGGGGCCCGGCGGTCGGCGCTCACCCTGGTGACCGAGGACCGTGCGGCAGCCGATGCAGCAGCTGTGGCGTTTGGCAAAGGCCAGAAGGCCGCCCACCTTGCCCGTGAGCACGGTCTTGCAGCGCGTGTGGTCACCCCCTGCAGGTGAGAGCAGGCAGTGGGCCTGGGGCTCTCCGTGCCCCTGCCCCGCCCCGTGCCCCCCATCCCGCTCCAGGCGTTTCCCCCGGAGTACTCAGCAGCACAGCCTCGGCACGGCCCTCGCCCAGGATGGGCTCGAAGATGCGCAGGAGCGGCTTGGCAAGCTGCTGCTCCAAGTAGTACTGCGTGTCGATGGGCAGGCTGTGCTCCAGCACAAACAGGGGGTCCTGCAAACACAGCGGCCGGGAGGGGTCACACCCAGGGGTCAGGGGGCCCGGGGCTGTGGTCAAGAGCAGGCTGCGTGGCGAAGGGCACTGGGAGCCGCTGGGGTGGGGTTCCCAGTCGTGACCTGTGGGCAGCGGTGTGGGGCAGTCACCGGGCACGGGTGCCGCCCTGCGGGGTGTAGCATCAATGGCGGGCCTGGGTCTGGGATGGTGTCAGAGACCATGAGGGGTCCCTGGCCATGAGCTCTGATCCATGGGTGGCGGTCCTCAGGTTACCAAGCAAAGGTCAGAGGTCACTGCTGGGGGGTGTGAAGGTGGACAGTAGCGGGGGCGGGGTGAGGCGGGTGAAGGCTAGAAGCCAAGATATGAGGGGGCGGGACCGGAACTGGCGACTGAGGAAGGGGTCATGGGGGTCAGAGGTCACTGGCCCATCAGGGTGGAATGGGGGAGGACATGAATCCTAGAGAATTATGGGTTGGAGAGCAAGGACCAAGGAGAGAGAGAGACACAGAAACAGAGACGGTTAGAGCCACTGTGCACGGTGAGGCTGGGTCCTCTGTAGGGGGGGTGAAGGAGGGGTCAGAATAATGGGGGGGCCTCCAGAGGGCACAGGAGGCCTGGGAGAAAGGCATCATGAGCCAACTCCCAGGGGTGTGATGGGGGCGGTTCTCAGGGCCCTGTGGGGCCCACAGAGGGAAACACCCCCCCCCAACCCGCCAGGCTTGGAAAGCAGAAGTGAGAGCTGAGGGGAGCTGGCAGCCCAGGTGGGCCTGACCTCGGACTTCATGTAGGCAGCCACGCCCTTAGCAGCGCCGATGATCACGTAGGGGACACGGTCGCCCAAGCTGGGCGCACTCCCGGGGTCCCGCTTCCTCATCCTGCGGGGAGACCGGGGCGGCCGGGCGGGTGAGGGCAGGTGGGACGGCGGGGGCGGGCGGGGGGCATAGGAAGCGGCGCCCAGCTGGCAGGAGAGGGGCTATTTCTGGGCGGCCCTGCACCCCCCACCGTGCCGGGCGGACCTCTCGGCCAGTTCCACATGGGCCTGCTTGCCGGCGTAGTCAGCGGCCGCGCGGGTCAGCTCCTTGGTGATGACCAGCTGGGAGATGTCAATGCGGTTACACAGCAAGTCGGAGATGACGTCCTGCGCGTGGGCCACAGCACCTGCGGGATCTCTGCAGGGACCAGGGTTGGGGGGGGGGATGTGTGTGTGTCACCAGTGGCTGCCGCGGGCCGGGCTGGTACCTCCACCACTCCTGAGCCTGGGGGGCCAGGATGTGCTCTGGGGGCTGAGGCCCAAGGCGGGGAGGGACGGGGCCACAGGCTGCAAGGAGGCAGAGGCGGGGCCTAGACCCACAGCTGTCCAACCCCACACTCTTTCCACCGTTCCCCCACTGAGGACAAGCTGGGCCTGACACCTGTGTCCCCAGGGGAGGAGGGGGCTGGGGGCCTGGACCCCTGGGTCTGAGGGAGAGGGGCTGGGGGTAGGGTCGGGTAGGATCCCACCCACCTGTCAATGAGCAGGCGGCGCAGGGAGGCAGTGACGAGGTTGGCCACAAGGGGGCAGTTGTCCCGGCGCACGGCCTCCAGGCCCTTGCAGTCCATGCGGTCATGAGCATCCGGCCGGGAGGAGAAGAGGAGGCCAGCATAACGCTTCTTGCTGATGAGCAGGTAGGGAAAGTAGACCTGGAGGGGGACCCATGGCTGAGACCCTCGAGACTTCCAGACGCCTGAGACTTCCCTCAGAAACAGGACACACAGGGCTGGTCTGTGCAATGCGGGATTGGGACACTGGGGGGCATGGACCCTAAGACCCCAGCGCCTGAGCCCAGGGACACCCTCAGCATTCCAGGGGCCTCAGATGTGAAATAGAGACTGGGATAAACCTAGAGATAGGTCCTAAAGCACAAGATCCAGACATGGGGGTGTAGCCTGGAGAGCCCCAAATCTGGGTCTGGAACAGACCTGAGGCAGACAGGGGTACAAGGAGCTGAGACTTAGGCCCAGGAGTGAGCCCTGAGGTAGGGGCTTCTCAGAATTGGGAAGCTCCAAATTTGTGAGCAGGTATACCCAAGACCTGACCCCAAGTTTGAACCTTGGGAATAACATGCAGTATGAGTCCCCAGACCCTAGCCTGATTCCTGCTGGGCGCCAAGAAGCACTGGCCAATGGTGCCCCAATCCAGGATTTGCCCCATCAGGGTCCCCAGTGCCCAAGGCAGCCCCCACATCCAAAACCAGAGATGCTCTAAGACTGACAAGGTTTTCAAAGATAGACACTGTCCTGTATAGCAAAGCTCAAGGCTTTAGAGGTTTTCAAACTCAGGAGAACCCAGGCAGCCAAATACCTCAAAACCGGGGCATGTGAACATAAGGAATGGGATATCCAGAGTCCCCAGGTCAGGGCACCCCAAAACGGAGAGAGCCTGAGCTACACTGGGGTTCTCCAGATGCTGACATACCAGGGGAACCTCTCGTGAATGCATTCTTAAACTTCGCAGGCACCAAGAATCATAGATCCTCTGAAACCTGCAAGGCCCGCACCTGCCCACTCCAAGCCCCGAGGGAGGCTCCCACTTACCTTTTCAAACTCAAGCCGGATAGGTGGGGGAAAGTGGCCTGACACCCAGTCCGCGGCCTCCCGCCCCAGAGCCATCGCCTCGGCCACAGAGGAGACACCAAATCGGCACATGACGGAGTCAGTGTCACCATACACCACCTGGAGAGGGGTGTGTGTGACGGGGAGGCAGGGGGAGAAGGGGGCCAACCTCCTGCACTCCCCCGACCAGCCCCAGGCCCATCCCTGGACAGCAGGTGGGGTGGCCTCTGACCTTGGCGTGGGCACCATAGCCGTTCTCCACCGTGTACTTGGACTCCACCAGCTGCTTTGTTTTCTCAATCATCTGGCGCCCGAACCCAGTGACGCTCTGTCAGGGAGAGAACCAGGCAGTGAGGGCCCAGGAGCCATCTACAGTGAACACGGGCTCAGGGTGCCACCCATGACCTCCTGGGGGTTTGGGTGAGTGACTCCGCCCCTCTGGGCCTTGATTTCCGAATCTACAAAATGGGGCTACTAAGCTGCTCCTTAGGTCTGTTGGAAAGAACTGGCTCCCTGGCCCAGAGCTCTGGGTACAGAAGAGGAATGACTGCAAAAAAAGGCATGTTGGCAAGGCCAAGGCCAGAAGAGGCCATCAGCACCCCGTTTCCCTCCACAGAGGTGCCGTGACATGTGGCGATCCTGCAGGCAGCTCTCCATGGTGCAGGACCACCAGCACTCCCGGCCCCCTCCCTGAAAGCCAGCGGTGCCACCCCCACATCCTTGGGCAACTGGAAATGACCCTACACACTGTTAAATGCCCCCCAGGGTCGAGAGTTGTGCTAGCCTCATGGAGAAACTTTCCAACAGTCTTACTTTACAGGAAACTGAAGCTGGGGCAGTGGGGGGCCAGGGGGCACACACCAAGGAGAAATGGGTGTGACTCTTCTGTTTTGGTTTGTTTGGACACAGTCAGAAGATCTCTGTCTTTTAACTAGAGCATTTAGGTGACTTACATTTAGTGTAATTATTGATCATATCTGGGCTTAAATCTACCACTTTACTATCTGCCTTCTGTTTGTTTCACCTGTTCTGTGTCCCTTCTTCTTTCCTTCATCTTTTCCTGGAATGATTCTGTGGTTTTTGTTTTGGTTTTTTATTCCATCTCCCTGCCCCTATAAGCCTGAGAGATGGCAATAAGAAAGGAGGCTAAGAAACAAGACATGACAGAGGGACAGAGGGAAGGGTGGAGAAGGAAAAGACAGACAAAATGAGGAAGCAGTAGCCCTGATGAGGGAGCTCCAGGGGAAGAAAAGCCAAACCCGCCTGGCCTGGCCTCTGCTCAGGGGCTGGAGTCTGACAGCCAAACACCCACCTCTTTCCACCAAGGAGGCTGGGGACGCCCCGAGGAACTAGGAAAGGCCAATGACAGCAGTTTCGGTGGGATGCACTACGGGATGAACCTTGCCCAAAGAGAGACCTGGCTTTTAGAGGGAACCTCTAAGCCCTTGGAACGTCCTAAGAGAGTGTCTTTGTTCACCTAGGACCTTAGACTATACTAACAACATGACTCACACTGAGGCCTTGGGCCACGGTATCAGCCTGACCTCTGTCTGCAAGGGCCGGAGACCAAGTAACGAAGGTCAGTCACACAGATGCTCTGTGCCTACGTGATTGACCCCAATAAAAACCCGGGACACAGAGGCTCCAGTGAGCTTCCCTAGTGGGAAGCACTCTGTGCACGTTGTCACACATCGATGCCGGGAGGAATGAGCACTGTCTGCATGACTCCACTGGGAGAGACAATTAGAAGCTCCATGCCTTTGCCCTTGGCTGATTTTAATCTCTATCCTTTAACTGTATTAGGTCATAATCACGAGTGTGATGGCTTTTCTGAGTTCCTCCAGTCCTTCTAGTGGATCACTGGATGGGAGGGTGATCTTGGGGGCCCTGGGACTGAAGGTGGGTGGGTGTGTACACAGGCCTCTCCCACCAAAAAGCCCAGTCACCGGCAATTCTTCCAAGTCTTCCACCCAGAGCCACATGAGGACTGACATAGTGCCAGATACAGAGGGAGCTTCCCATGGCTGGGAGCAACCAAGTTTGGAATGTGCCGAGACCCAAACCCCAGGGAAAAGGGCTGGACAGGAAGACCTTTCTAAGGCCATGAGCCAAGGTGCTGATCCCAGCTTGGCAGAACCTCAGACCCAGATAGAGCTGCCTCTGGGAAAGAGGCCCAAGACACTGCTACGGGGCAGGGAGGGAGGCAGCGGGCTCTCAGAGCAGAGCACTGACCAAGCACCTTCCAGGCATCTTCACACCTGGGGTGGGAAGAAGCACCTTCACACCAGCTCCTTCAGCGCTGGAGCACACACAGCAAATCAAGTGTCAGAGCCCAGCTGTGTTACTGGTTGGCGCCCAGCACTGCCCCAGCCCCCACGAGCAGAGACACAGCCCTGTTCTCCCATCAGGCGGGAGGGAACCTGCCCTCTGCATCCCCACCCCGACCAGGGGAAGAGGTGGGTGGGGTCTGTCAGATCGACTATGACAAACGGAATGAATGAGCAATGAACAAAGCCTCTGCTCTCCCCACCACTACCCTCCCCCCCGCCCCGCGTCATCTGCCTGCCGAGCCCTCAGCACCAACTGCCTTCCAAACGCATTTACTGCTGTCACCATCTGTGTACCCACGAGGCTGCACGCTGCAGGAGGGCAGAAGCCCTCATCCGTTTTGCCACCTGCTGGACCCACAGAGGATGTTCAGCAAGTTGGGGCAACGAGACCTCTACCACACGGAGACCTGGTTCTCCTAGGGAGGGGCCTGTCTGCTCCCCCTTGCCTACTGTGGAAACCGAGCACTCACCTGAGAGATCTCCAGGCAAGGCAGCTTGCCCACCTGGGCACCAGTGAAGCCATAGACAGAGTTGGCGCTCACTTTCAGTGCCAGCTGCCGCCCGTCTAAGACCTGCCGACGCAGGGGGTCTGTCTCCTTGGCCAGCTCAGCCTTGGCCCTGGAAGGACAGGAAGCCAAGGCCACTGACACAGTGCCCCAGATCTCAGGGAGAGATGAGAGGCCAGGGCTGGGCACCGGTTAGGGTGCCTTTCTAGAAATGGGTGCTGTGTACTGGTGTGCAGGCTGTGCACTGCACAGAGGCGCCCAGCAGAGGGGGCAAATGGGAGCAGTCTGGAGGGGCGTCTTGTTCTAAGTCACACATGGCTGCAGTCAAGTGTGGCCTAGCAATCCTGGGTGACCCACAAGGGACAGGGACTGACGAGGAGCCTCAGCAAGTTTGAGCAGGGGTGGGTGTGATGCTCAAGAACCCACCTCTTCCGGGCGCTGAGCAGGTTCTCCAGGATCTGGGGCAGCAGCCCTTTCCGCACTGAAGTCTTCACAAACTCATCCCCTGTGGGTGTCTTGATGAACTGATCCTCAGTCAGGCTGGGTCGGAGGATGTGGGGGAGGGGGGAGGGTGTGAACCTGGCTTCCCCATCTCTTCCTCCTCCAGACCCTTCAGGCTCTCCCCACCTCTTGAGTCTCCCCTCTACTCCCCTCCCCACTATTTCTCGGCCCCCGGCCCTGCCCTGACTAGAGCCGGCCCCCAGGCAGTCCTGGGGTGCACAGGATGAAGAAGGGGCCATACCCTAGTTTCTGGGCAGCCCCGGGCCGCAGAAGCGTGGTGTAGCACAGATTGTGGGCCATCATGATGGACGGGTACAGAGAGGAGAAGTCCAGGGTGGTGATGGGCACATCGTAGTACCTGGGAGGGTGTGGAGGAATCAGGTCCGGGAATCCCAAGCCACCCCCCCACCCCCTAGCCACGGGCCTCACCCTTTGAGGGGCTCGATGACTGTGGCTCCCGTGTAGTCCTCGCCGCCCTCCGTCTTTACCACGGGCATCAGCAGTCCCTCGCGCATGGCCTGTGAGGGCAGAAGTCGGTAAGTGGAGGCAGGAATGGGCAGGGCAGACCGGAAGAGGGAGGAGGAGGAGCAGGGAAGGGCATCCAGGTGTCACGGCCCAGGAGCCACAACGAGTGACCAGAGGCCAGGAGTGGGACTTGCTGGGGGTGTTGTCACCGGGCCCACCCTCAGCTCCGCCCACTGACCTGCCGCAGCAGCTGGGACACGACCTTGACCTGCTGGCCCCGGCTGAGCAGGTAGCCGAGGGGCACGCCAGTGACACGCGCCATCTCCATGGCATTCACCAGCACCATGAGCCGCTCCAGCAGCCGCAGGGGCAGGAAGGCGTCCTTGAGGCAGTACACAGCCAGCCGGCGGCGCGTCTGGTCATTCCCATTCTGGGGACACGCACGGACGGCATCAGGGTCAGGGAGAGGGCGAGGGTCTGGGTGCGGAGCGGGCAGGGGGGGAGCTGAGGAAGTTGGCAGGGTCCGAGCGAGGAGGGCGCCATCTGAAGGGCGAGTGTGGGCTAGAGGGGGCGGGCAGGAGAGCGGAATAAAGGTCGCAGCGCCAGAGGTCAAGTGAGTGGGCAGGAATGGGGAGTCACACCTGCAGGGTGAGGTCACAAATCAAAAGCAAGAGGTCAAGGTGAAAGCCGGGAGAAGAGCTGGGAGGCTGAAGCCCCCGGTCAGGAAGGCGGGAGAGGCTGAGGCCAGAGCAGGTGGAAGGAGGGGTCAGAGGTCACAGGCCGGCAGCCAGGCACCTGCAGGTCGGTGATGATGCTGTGCTGCACGTCCTCCTTCTGCTCGCCCAGGAAGTGGAAGCTCACGGCGTTGAGCGTGTAGGAGCGGAGCTTGTACTCCCGCAGCAGCACCTGAGGCAGGGGGCACAGGGTGGGCCCGGGGCCCCGGCAGCAGCCCTGCGACGTGGGCCCCCGCCCGGCCCGGCCCGCATACCTGCAGCATGTCCATCTGCACGCGGCCCACCATGCTGACCACCTTGCTGTCCCGCCGGCCCGTCTGCTTGGACTGGAAGGACGAATCCCGGATGTTGGAGCGGAGGCCAGACACGCGGCCCAGGAAGGGGAATGTATGTACCTGAAGGCAAAGCCCGCGGGCAGGGCGGAGCTGTGGTGGGGAGCGGCCAGATCTGGGGACCTGCCCCCGGCCCAGGGCCACGCCAGAGGAATGGAGATCGGAAGGGCCAACGACGCCACCCGGGATGCCGCGCTCTTCCTGCAGGGAACCCAGGGCTGGGTGGCCGGAAGCAGGGGCAGTTCTGATGCAGAAGAACCCTCTGGGGCCGGGGAGGCGTGGACTGGAGGCAAGAGACAGGAGGCCGGAACGGGGAGAGTCAGAGGCCTGATGGCCACGGGGCTGAGAGGCTAAGGGTGGTGCCCAGTGGCTGGGGAGCCGCCCTCAGATGGGCAGCTGGAGGGGGAGCGGAGCTGGGGACGGTGCTGAGCTCAGTGCGGGGGGTGTGTGCGTGGGCTGGGGGACCTGGGGGAGAGCTGGGTGGGAGCACAGCAGGGGGGCAGCACGGAGAGCTAGGCCTGAGGTCAGGAGAGAGTGGTACCGGAAGGGAAGGCGGGAGGGCCCGGGGAGAGGAGAGGCCTGAGCCGGTGGAATAGCAGGTAAGGGGGCAGAGGGGAGAGGAGCAGTAGTACCCCGTGTACAAACGCCGGACGGACAGGGATGGACTTCTTCCTGGCGCCACTGGGGGCCGTAAACGTGATTTTTTTTTTTTTTTTTTTTTATAGCATTCGATTTGATTTAAGTCGGTTCCATGCCCACGACCCTGAGATCAAGAGCCACACACTCTAGTGACTGAGCCAGCCGGGCGTCCCAAACGTGATTTTTATTTTTCATTACAAAACAGGCCAAATATAAGGAAAAGGAAGGAATGATATAATATAACCCCCGTTGTGAGCTAAACTGTCTCCTCGCCGCCCCCCCCAAAGATGTTGATGAAGGCCTAACTTGCCAACGCCTCAGAGTGTAACCTCATTCAGAAATAGGGTCTTTACAGGTGATCGAGCTAAGGCGAGGCCACCAGCGTGGGCCCTGATCCCCTACAACCGTGTCCTTAGAAAAAGCGGGGAAAAAAAGAAAAAGGGGAGATTTGAGCAGAGACACACGTAGCGGGAAGGCAAGCTGAAGACTTAGGGAGATGGCCTTCCACACCCCAGGAATGTCTGGGACAACCAGAAGCTAGGAGAGGCCTCAGAAGGAACCAGCCCTGTGAGGCTCTGATCTTGGGCTTGAGATGACACAAGTCTGCAGTCCTGGGTTCTGGCAGCCCTAGCAAACGAATGCACCCCACACAGTCACCCCCAGATTCAACACGCCTCAAGGCATTGCCACACGCTTCGAGGAACACCCTCCCCTTTTCCTTATTTTTTTTACTAACGTATTTTAAAGTCTAGAAGATAAGACGCTATACCTGGGCACGCTCAGTCTGCCCCTCAAACACACAAGCCTTTCCTTAACCATAAATGCCCGCCTTGCCTCTGCAAAGACCACGATAACCTTCTGGACTTGGAGCAGGGCAGGGATGGGGCCAGGGCTGTTTTCAGCGATGTCCCTGGAGCCACTGGGGGGCGGTGGGCTGCAGGTACACAGCAAGACAGACCACCGCAGGGGACAGAGCCACAAGGGAGAAGGCAGCGAGGAGGAGCAGGGTGGCCGCCCACCCCTTGAGCCCCCAGTGGGGCTTTTGAAGGCAAGCCTCCCCCGCCTGCCTGCCCTACCTTGAGAGTCTGGGCCCGGGAGATGAGGTATGGAAGGTCAAAGTTCTGAATGTTGTAGCCGGTGATCACGTCAGGGTCCATGGTGCGAATGAAGGTTGACCATGCCTGGGGGTGGGAGCACACCAGGTCACCCCGGTTTGTCATCCTGATTGTCCCCCTGGCATGGGTCCTCCCCACTCCTGGAACATTCTAGAAGCCCCCCAGAGCAACCCTACAGCCCTTCTGCCCACTGTAGAAAGACTGAGCAGGTGCTTCTGAAAATCACACAGAACCCAGAGGGGAAATGTTCACCCCTGCAAAGCAAAGGGATCTGAACCCGTGGACTGGGTGTCTCAGCGTCCAGAGGCCTTGAGCCTGGGATGCGGAGGCTGGGTGGGGAGTTCTGAGGAAACGAGGGGAAATGAAGCAAGGGCCACCTGGAGCAGTTCCTCCTCCCGCTCGTAGCTCTGCACTTTGGCACCCAGGATAGGGGCGCAGGGCCGTAGGGTGAGCGCCAGGCGCAGGAAGGGCTCCGGCTCACCCCAGCGCAGGCCCAGTGAGCAGATCTGGATCACAGGGTCCCGCTCAGGTTCAGGGAAGATGCCTGCGCAGGGAAGAAGATGGGGGATGGACGCGGGGGACGAGACTCCTCCTTTTCCTTCATGACACATCAGGGTGGCTGCACCTCCAAATCTCCCCAGCCTGTCTACTCCTCTCTACCCCCACTGCCTGCAGACCCTGCACAACCCACCCTCGCTCCCCTATGCCATCATCTTCTGGCCCTCTCCCTGTCCCTCACAGACTGGGATGGCCCTGCCCCAGGGCCTTTGTGCTGGCTATTTTCTGCAGAGGGTGTGTGTGTGTCTGTGTGTCTGTGTGTGTGTGTCTGCTCATCCCTCTTCCCAAGGCTTGCCTCATCACCCCTGAGGCCTTCCCTGCCCACCTGTCTGAGCTGCCCTGTCACTGTCCACCACCGTCCTCCTTCGATGGAGAATCTTATGACGACCTATCCATTTGCATGTTCACTCCCTTCTTCCCAAGAGTGAGCTCAAGAAGTATGGGGACTCCTGGGGCAAGACCGGCATGTCACCAATATCTAAAGGGAGGGCAGGAGGAGCTCCTGGTCCCGGAGACAGACCTTTGCGGCCAGCACACTCGATGTCAAAGCTGAGCACGCGGAGCGGTGCGATTCGCTGCCATTGCCCTTCTGGCGGGTGACTGACTATGTCAGACCACAGCACGTCCACCTCCAGCTGACACAGCGTGGCCTGTAGGGATGGGGCCTGTCAGTGGCTGCAGGGTCCCGGCTCTGTGCTCCCCCCCTTCGCCCCTGGGGAGCCCCATACCTTCCCCTCCAGCCTCAGCACGTATCTCTCTGCTGGGAGTTCCAACCAGTTGCAGCCGACGATGTCTGTGTCCACCATGAACCTGGAGGGAGACGAGGACCAGTAGGTGGGAAGCTGGCTGGGGGCGGTGGGGATGGAGGCTGAAGAGAGGCAGGGGCTGTACCGGATCTCAAAGTCGACGTTGGCCTCATAGGGCGCGAAGCTGGGGGTGCCCAGGCCTGCCACACGGATGCCCTGCTCCAGGAGGCGGCGGGCGGGGGCCATGAGGCGCGGCAGCGCCAGGGTGATGCGCAGAAACGGGGAGGGGCCGTGCCCATGGTACCCGAACATGCCTGCGGACAGATGAGGCTGGCACCGGCCCAGATGGACCCGTACCCGCTTGGCCCCCGGGGCGGCACTCACTCTCCCGGGAGCACAGCTCCACAGACAGCACCGCCGGCCCCGCGAGCTCCTTCCCTCCACGCTGGTCCCTGCTGATGGCAGCATTCAGCTCCCGCTGGAGGTCACCCAGGTGCTCAGGCCCAAAACCTGGTATGGCAGAGCTGGTCAGAAGCACGGGGGGAGGGGGGGGCCTCCAGAGGGGCGGGGGCGGGAGTGGGTCTCGAGGGTCAGGGTCACTCACCAGGGGGTGCTGGGGTATAGAAGTAGGGCGCAAAGCCGTGGATGTGGCAGCAGACCGACACGCCCTCGTCGGTGACTCCAAAGGCACGGAGCACGGGCACGGAGCCGGGGGATGGTGGGGGTGCTCCCGGCAGGGGCTGTGCTGGGCCTGGGGGTGTGACGGGGTAAGGCAGGAGGGACCCCTTCAGACTCCTTAAAGCCTTGCTCCCCAGGCTCCTCCTGGGCTGGGAACACAGCCCCCTAATTCCTGCAGTTTGGGGTGCATCTGCCTGCTGTTCCCTCCACCCTGACCGCCTCCCCACCGGCCTCCGTTTCCATCTTTGTCCCCCTACAGTCTGTTTGCCACTGTAGAGCTAGCGGGAGGCCCCTGCCTTTTTTTGCAAAAAAATATTTTCTTTTAGAAAATAACACCGACTTTGTGTGTATGGGGTTATGAGCTTTAACACACATACAGATTCGTGTGACCACCACCAAAATCGGGGTGCAAGACAGGTCTGTCACTCTAAACAGCTCCTGAGAGACGTGCTTTTGTCACCACACCCCCTCCCACCACAAGCCCGGGCACTGGTGGTCCGTCCGCTCTTGGTCATTTACTTCTGTCTCTTTGAGACTGTCCATAGAAATGGAACTACACGGCCTGCTGGCTCCTGTCAGAGGAACCCTAGGGGAAGTATCAAGGCAGGGAACTGCCTGGTCCTATGAAAAGAGTAGATTTAACTCTTGTATCTCAATAAAGCTGGGGGTGGTGGTGGTGGGAAGGGTAGGCTGAACTCTAAGAAACTTCCAGGCTGTTTCCCAGAGGGGCTGCAACCCAAAGCGTTCCCACCGGGAGGGCACGAGCAAGCGTTCCAGTTGCTCTGCATCCTCATCAGCACTGGTGTCCTCGGTGTGCGTGCACGTGTTAGCTCTTCTGATAGGAGTGTGTTGTGTCTCACCGTGGCTGCCATGTGCATCGTCCCGACAGCCAGTGACACGGAGCGTCACCTCCAGGGCTGATTTGCCACTGCGCATCCTCGAGTGAACTGTTCAAGTGTTCTGCCCCCTCCCAGACTGGACTGTTTAGATCTGAACGTTCTTTACATATTCGCAGTACTGGTTTTGTGTCAGATATGTGGACTGTGAATGTTTCCTCCCTGCCTGGAGCTTGTCTCTTCACTCTCTTAGAGGGGAGCCTTCTAACCTGCGAGTTGGCCTGGGTCTCTCCAGCGCCAAAAGCTTTCCAGCCCGCGCAGAATGGAGCCCCCAGGTCCTTGCCTGGGCAGACAGGGTCGCACGTGCCGCCCCTACCCCCGTCTTCGCCCCCTGCTCCCACCGCCCTGGGCTCCTGGCTGTTCCTTGAACATTCCAGACCTCTCCCTCCTCAGGACCCTCTGTCCGGAATCCCTCTTCCAGACCGCCCCATGGCTCCTCAGTGCCTCCTCAGAGAGGTCTCCTCAGACCTCCGAGATGCGCAGTCTGGCACCTCTACCCTACTTTAGGTCCTTCCATAACCCTTATCGCCACCTGAGGTTCCATTTCCTTTTTTATTTTGCCTATCCTTCCAGAAGGTGAGCCTCGAAGAGCAGGGACCTGGTCTGACTGAAACAGGGCCCGGCTCAATGCAGATGCTGTGCTCCTGACACTGGATGGACAGATGGATGGATGGACATCAAACCACACACGTGTCCCCTCAGCAAGGAGCCAGCTCTTACCTTCAGGCCTCAATTTGGAGACACTCCCCACCTCCAAAAAGCCCTGTGGGACACCGTGGCCCCTTCCCCTCTTCCTGCCCCTCTGGGCACCCACAGCCCTGGCCACCTGCATGGGCACTGTGTCCATCTCCTCCCTCAAAGCCCAAGGCCCCTCCTCCCACCCACCAGGCCTCTGTCCACCACGCTCACCCACGTAATGGTCGATCTCCAACTGCTGGAAGATGAGGGGCTCCGTCTGGGGATCCAGGGGGGGCGGAGTGGGCCGCAGCCAGCGGGCATCTGTGGCCGTTGGGGAGAACTGCCCTGGGTTGGGGGGAGGGGAGACAAGCAGGCTACATGGGAGTCGTGGTCCGCCCAGCCCAGCCCATGACCTCTCAGGTGGCATCTGATGTGCGAAAGGAAAGTCAGGTGGACGTGGTGCTCTGGATCCGGCAGGTAACTCAGGAGAGATTAGGGGGTCAAGGTCAGAATGGGAGCTGCAGGCAACAAAGGTGGCATACTGGCACAGGGTCAAAGGTCAGCACTCTGTGGGGGCTCAGTGTGGGCCAGAGGTCACAGGTTACAGGTGAGCTCCATGGCTGACGTGGTTCCCAGGCAGGACAGGTGTGGGGGTGCAGGAGGTTCCCGCTCCAGGCCTCACCATCCGCTGCTCCATCCAGGCCCGGCTGCAGCAACTCCTCTTCCTGTTCCTGCAGCCTGTGTTCTGCCTCCATCTCCTCCATCAGCGCTAGCTCCTCCTCGAACTGGGATGGCTGACATGGCTCATCCTCATCCCAGAGGCCCCCACGGGCCCGCTTCGGGGGCACCCCAGGCCCCGGGCCTGGCCGCCGCTTGCCATCCATCCCGCTGGGCTAGTCAGGGCTGGGGGACGGTTCCTGTCTTCTTCCTGGCCCCCCATGCACCCACCATGACCGTGAGCCTTTTAATTCCCAGGAGTCGCAAGACTCTACCCGCAGGCTCACGGGATGCTGGCACAGTTGCCATGCCGAATAATCATTAGTTACTATAATTACAGCCCACTTCCCGCCTCAGTTTAACCCTTTCCTCACACACTCAAACCTTCCACATCCCTTTACCTGGCTGCTTGCCCTCCACCCAGCACAGACTTGGTCCTTAGCACATCCCTTTCTTTCCCATAAACCTCTGTCTCCGATGTCGTCGCCCACCCATCTCCCCACCTGCCCAGGCCTGAAACACAAATCTGATCTGGTCCCTTCCCAGCCCAAAACACTTCAGAGGCTTCCCATCTCTCTTCAAAACAAAACAAAAAAAGAAGCCCTTTCTCTTTTGAAATAATTTCAAATTTGCAGCACTGCATACCCTTCACCCAGATTCCCCGAGTATCAATTTGTTGCCACACTGATTTCATCAGTCCCCTGTATGTAATATGCACACGTCATTATGTTATTTATTTTCCCAAGCCATTTGAGTTAGTTGCCTGTCAGATAGATACCATGCCCCTTGACCTCTGCATACTTTAGCATGTATTGCTGAAGAGCAAGGACATTCTCTCTCTCTTCCTTTTTTTTTAAGTACGTTCCACACCCAACATGGGGCTTGAACTCACGACCCTGAGATCAAGAGTCACGTGCTCTACCAACTGAGCCAGCCAGGCACCCCAAGGACATGCTCTCTTTTTAAAGATTTTATTTATTTATTTGAGAGAAAGAAAGAGAGAGCGAGCGCGCACGAGCAGGGGGAGAGGCAGAGGAGAGGGACAAGCAGACTCCCCGCTGAGTGGGGAACCCAATGCAGGGCTTGATCCCAGGACCGCAAGATCATGACCTGAGCTGAAGATAGACGCTTAACTGACTGAGCCACCCAGGCACCCCCTACTAAGGACATTCTTTTAAACAAGCACAGTGTGATGATCAAATCCAGGACATTTAACAACGACTCAATAATAACATAAACAAAGAGTCCATTTTCCAAAAAATGCCTTTTATAGTACTCTCCCCCATCCAGGATCCAAGGTAGCAAACACAACAAAAAACCAAACGGAGACTGCAATTTACACATTTATATGTTTTGTTGTTGTTCTATTTTTATAAACTTGACTATTTAAGTTTATTTAAGTAATCTCTATGCCTAACGTGGGGCTCGAACTCACAACCCTGAGATCAAGATTTGCATGCTCTTCTGACTAAGCCTGTCAGGTGCCCCTGTTTATATGTTTTCTTAATTGCAACATATAAAAAACTATCTTGCGGTATGTTTTGACAAGATATATTGCCATGAAAGTACATAACCTCTGGTAAGTTTGACAAAAGACTGTATTTAAATTAAGCCCATTCAGGTTGGTAACTTCACTCTGGTTCAGTAAGAGAATATACTAAGAAAATACATACTCAACTGTTTAAGGGTAAATAGCCATGATACATGCAAGCTATTTTGAAAAAAAGTTTTTAGGTGGCGTATGTGTAGAGAGGAGAAAAACAAAAGCTTGAGCACGTGCAAATCATAAAACAAAAAGAGCATGCCTTCTGAAATGTACGCCCTTATTAACCGTGAAGATCACTTGGAATTGTGATCTGTAACCTAGTGGGAGTTTCAAACCCGCTCTGTGTTCTGTGATACCTTGAAGGGGGGAATTGGTACCACCACGATGCACGGCACTTAGGAAATGAAAGAAGTACCTGTTTAAAAAAAAAAAAAAAAAAAGCCGAGGGAGAAATGTTAAAACACGTAATCTGGGTAAAGGGTATACAGGTGTTCTTCGAGTTATTATTCTTTTGATCTTCCCATAGTTTAAAATTATTTTAAAAAGAGAAAGAAGTTTTTAAAGTACATGGCTCCCAGCATCCAGGCCTAGAGAGAGATTTACAGGAACCTACAGCAGACTCCAGACCCAGGTGGGAGGGAGGGTGGGGAGGGGACGGGTCAGCTGCCCTGGGTTCCAGTGAATACCCCTGGATCCCCTAACTGCCCCCACCCAACCCCACATCCACTCACCCCTTCATCCTTCTCGCAACCAACCTCTTGCCTTGCGGCTGCCACAAGAAACACAACCCAAGACTACATTTCCCAGGGGGCACTGCTAGGGATGATCACACTGTTATCTCATGGAAAGAACCACTGCGAGGTGTACAACTTCCGGGGCAGCCTTCAAAGGAAGCTTGCCTCTATAGCCTCTTCCCTCTTCTTGATGGCTGGGACATGGATGTAGTGGTGGTGACCAACCTTGACCACCGGGACGTGGACAACACTGCAGGGAATGCAGGGCTACAAGATGGGAGGAACCCAGGCCCCTCGACAACCTTCTGGGGCAGAGCTGCCTACCTGAGGGCAGTTGTATGGAGAAATACACTTGTGTCTTGCCTGGGCCACTGTGCTGTAGGGTCTCTGTTACGGCAGCTTAGCCTAGACCTTAACAAATACAGCACAGAAAAATTCTGAACTGACTGGGGATGTGTTGTTGCAAATGTTTGGGTTGGTAGCCACTGGAATACTCCTCAGCATTAGAGAGTAGGCAGCTACTGACACACAGGACAGACGAATCTCGAAAATATGCTGCACGGAAACAGCCAGACGCACAGTACACATCGGAGGAACGGGGAATGATTGCTCAGGGGCATGGGGTTTCCTTTTTGGGGGGATGAAAATGTTCCGGAAGTAGACAGAGATAGTGGATGCATAACACTGTGAACATACTAAATGGTTAACCTCAGGCGCCTAGGGGCGCCTGGGTGGCTCAGTCATTAAGCGTCTGCCTTCGGCTCAGGTTGTGATCCCGGGGTCCTGGGAATCCTGGGATCAAGCCCCGCATCGGGCTCCCTGTTTGGTGGGAAGGCTGCTTCTCCCTCTCCCACTCTCCCTGCTTGTGTTCCCTCTCTCGCTCTTGCTGTCTTTCTTTCAAATGAATAAAATATTAAAAAAAAAAAAAAAAAACAAACCCAAACCTCAGGCGCATGGGTGGCTCAGTCAGTTAAGAGTCTGCCTTCGGGTGGCGGGGGGGTGGGGGCTGGTGCCTGGGTGGCTCAGTTAAGGGTCTGCCTTCAGCCCACGTCATGACCTCAGGGTCCCTGCTATGCAGGCGGGAAGCCTGCTTCTCCCTCTCCCACTCCCCCTGCTTGTGTTCCCTCTCTCGCTGTCGCTCTGTCAAAAAATAAAATAAAATCGTAAAAAAAAAAAGTCTACCTTCAGCTCAGATCATGATCTCAGGGTCCTGGGATTGAGCCCTGCGTCGGGCTCCTTGCTCAGCGGGGGAGTCTGCTTCTCCCTCTCCCTCCGCCCCCACCCCCATTCATGCTCTTTCTCTCAAATAAATAAATAAAATCTTTAACTTACCTACAACTGTCCACTTGAGAAACTGTGCATTTCACTGTATGTAAATTCCACCTCAATGAAAACATGAAAGCTGGAAGGCCACAGTTCTGCATCTAGGGGTTTATGCTACAGATATACTATCACATACGAACATCTGCATTTATGAGGTTATTTCCGGCAGCATTGTTTGCGATCACAAAAGACTGGAAACCACCTAAATGTCCTCCCCTGGGGGACTGTTTAAATAAATTAACTCTGTTCCATGGAATATTATGCAGCTGTATAAAGGAATGAGGAAGCGCTCTATGTACTGATGTGGAGGGCTCTCAAAGACCCAGTTAGAGAAAGCGAGGTGTAGAATGGTGTACTTACTTACATTGTTATCTTCTTGTATTAAAAAAAAAGTCTAAAAAAATGTTTGCCCTGATTCTTTCATTAGGAAACAATCAAACCAAAGTAAGGACTGGGCTGCAAAACTACCTGCTGGGAATCTTTGAAAATGTCAATGTCTTGAAAGGGGGTGGGGGGGAAGGGGCAGGAAACTTAATTTTTTATTTTTTTAAGATTTTATTTATTTTTTGGGGGGGACAGAGGGAGAGGGAGAAGCAGACTCCCCACTGAGCAGGGAGCCCAACAGGGGGCTCGATCCCAGGACCCCAAGATCACGACCCGAGTCAAAGGCAGATGCTTAACCAACTGAACCACCCAGGCGCCCCAAAGCATGTCTGTTGTCAATGCCTAATTCTGGAAAAATCGGTAATAAACTGGTGACACTGGCTTCCCAGGGCAGGGGGGAAGGGGGGACCGAACGGGGCAGTTTTACTGAGATAGAATTCACATACCATATGACCCATGCGTTTCAGGTGTATAGTTCAATGGCTTTTAGTATATTCAGAGCTCGTGTGACCATCACCATGGCCAATCTTAGAACCTTTTCATCACCCCAAAATGAAATCCCACACCCCTTGGCCATCACCCCCACCCCAGACCATCCCCACCCCACTTCTCCCAGTCCAAAGCAACCACTAATCTACTTTGTCTGTCGCTATGGATTTGCCCATTCTGGGCATTTTCTAGATGTGGAATCTTAGAATACGTGTCCGTCGGTGTCTGGCTTCTTCCACTTAGGATAATGTGTTCAAGGTCTACCCGTGACGCAGCACGGGTCAGTGCTTCGTTCCTTTTCATGCCTGAGTACTTCCTCACCGTGTGGTTGTATCACGTTGTGTTTATCCTTTCGTCTGTCAGTGAACATCGGGGCTGTTTGCACCTTTTGCCTATTACGAGTAGTGCTGCTCTGACCACGCATACAAGAGTTTTGTAGAAGGAGGAAGACTTGGAACAGACTCTCCTCTTGTGACTTCTGAATGCGCACTGTGTCTACAGGTGGCTTATCTCACAGGAAGGAAAAAGCCTGGAGATCTACGCTCCAGCCTCGCAAGCAGCCAGAGAGACACACAGAGTTCTGACCTGCAGCCAGAGAAACACACAAGAGTTCTGACCTGCAGGTAGGGACCTGGCGGGTGTGGTGGGAGGGACAGTCAGGCAAGGTAGCATGAGAAGGAAAGAGGCCCCTGTGTGTCCTCTCAGCTGCCCAGGCACAGAACAGCAGCTGGGGAAACACGGTGATCTCTCCCTTTCTGGACCCTCCACTGGCAAAGAGACAACAACGCCAGGTGCACACCCCCCTCCCCCCGCCCCTAGCTAAGATGCTGGTTTCTGGGACGCTCCCTCCCTCGGTGTTCTCATCCCATCTCCCAATCCCACCGCTTTTACTACCACCTCTATGCTCACCAGGCTTCCCCTCCTGATTCCGGCCCAGACCGCTCCCCAGGGCCCCAGCCTGACAGAGGCAGCTGCTCACCATAAGGATGTCTGCTTAGGCATCCCGCACTCCAAAGCCAAGCCCCTCATCTCCCTGCAAACCGGCTCCTTGCACCCCCCCCAGTCTCCCCCAGTTCAGCAAAAGGCAGCTCCCATCAGGTCACCAACCTTGGAGTCACCCCAGCTTCTCTCTTCCCCTCAGACCACATGCTTGATCCACCCGCAAATCCCATAGGCTCTTACGAGACCTGAGTCTCACCACCTCCCAGCACCTGCACAGTTCCCAGCCTGGTCCCTCCGGCTCTCTAAGATTGTCTGCAGCTTTCTTTTGCGCATTGCTTTTGGTCTGTCTCCCCCTGCTGGAAGACGAGCCACGAGCCCAGAGCGGGCAGGGATCTGGTCGGTTTTGTCACCAGACCGTTCCAGAGTCTGCCACAGAGCCTGGTACACAGTAGGTGCTGAAGAACCATCTGTTGAATGAATGAAGGGCCTCCCCCCAGGGTATCACTCATTCCACCCTGCCCCCATCAGTGTATTCTTCACACAGTAGCCAGAGGGATCCTGTACGAATAGGTCAGATGATCCCATCCCTCCTCCACTCAGAACCTGCCCCTGGGTCCCATCTCATGCAGAGCTGAAGCAATGTCCACAGGGTGGCCCCCCAGGACCCTGTGCAATCACCCCCTTTCTTTTTAGACACTATCTCCTGCCCTCTCCCTCTTGTTCATTTGGCTCCAGCCACCTGTTTCCTCTCTGTTCCTTAAGCATTCCAGGCTTGGTCCTACCTCAGGACCTTTGCAAAGACTGTTCCCTCTGCCCTACCAAATACTCTTCCCCAGATGTTCCCATGGCCTCCTCCCTCTCCTCCTTCAGGTTTTCGCTCAAATGTCACCTTCTCAGTGAGGCCTGTTTATTTTTTTTTTTTAAGACTTTTAAGCAATCTCTACACCCAACGTGGGGCTCAAATTCACAACCCTGAGATCGAGTTGCACGCTCCACCGACTGAGCCAGTCAGGTGCCCCCAGTGAGTCCTGTTTAAAAGGACAATCTCCACTGCCCCAAGCTGATACTCTCCAACCCCTTTCTCTGCTGCCTTTTTCCAGATGGCATTTATCGCTGTGGGATGCACTGTATCAGTTCTTAGTGTTCTCAAAGCGTGGTCCTGGACCTGCAGCTTGAGCTTCAGGTAGAAACTTGTTGGAATGCTCAGGGTCAGACCCCACAGAATCAAACCCTCTGGGGGTGCGGTCTCGTAATCTGGGGTAACAAGCCCTGCAGGGATTCCAAGGCCACTTGATTCTGAGAACCACTGCTTATTTATCTTGTTCACTGTCCATCCCACAATGTGAATGAAAAACTCTGTGTGACCAAGATTTTGTCTTGTTTCCTATGTCTCATGCACCCTGAAGAGGGCTGGGGCAGAGGATGTGCTCAATATATTAACATCTACCTAATGAAGAATGAAGGAACTCACAGAATCTTCACAAAAACTGCCAAGGTAAGCAGAAGTTACCCTCCAACACAATGACTAGAACCAAGGCCCAGAGAGGTGAAGCTACCTGCGCAAGGTGGCACAGCTAGCTTGGAGGGTTCAAAGAGAGGCAGGCTCACTCCAGAGCCCCACTGTTAACCAGCATCGCAGACTGCCGGCCTCCACGGGTGAACTGCTCTCTGTCCAGCGGGGGACACAGACTGGAGATGGATTCCTCTGCTTGCTCAGCCCTTGTATCCTGGCTCACACACAAAAGTAACTATTCACTCTTGCCCTCCAGGAAACTACACACTTTCCATGCTTTGGCCTTGTCCCTCCTGTGGGCCTCCCTGACTCCCGCTACCCTTGTGGCAGGCCAGAGACCATCTGGGCCTGTGTCTGACTCCCTCACCAGACAGAACCCCTTCAGGACAGGGCAGGGCCTGCTGCTTCTCTGGGTCCTCGACGTTGCCCAGCACAGGGCCTGGCTTTGGGAAGTGTTTGCCGGATGAGATCGCCCCTTTTTCCAGCCACTTAACTCCTCCGCATCCACAGAGACTCAGCTCCAGTTCAACTCTTCCGGGACACTTGGCAGCCCCTGGGGGCACCCACTGCACCCGGAACTGCTTCAGAATGTGAGCTCCTCAAAAACAGGGGTCAGGGTCTCGCTCAAGTTGGGGTCCCAGCATCACTCAGCACAGTGCCTGCAACACAGGCCACTTCGAGTTGTGTCAGTTTAGACTCCTCTCGAGTATCACCAACTCTACAAGTCTTCCCTGAGCCCCTGCCGCTTCTCTCGCCTCCCTGAGACTAGTGCTGCCTCGTATTGGTTCAGAGCACTCTGGATTGAGATCTGTCCTCCCCCCAACCAAACTGAATTATCATCGGCTTCCCAGTGCCCAGCAAAGGGCCTGCCATAAGAGCAGCTGACTGAAAGGACTGAAGAGAAGAAAGAGCATTGCAGGAGAAGGGAACAGCGTTGCAAAGGCCGTCAGTGAGTAAGGAACCTCTCTAGTGGACGGGAGGCTTGGGTGATGACATACAGCAAGGAGGGGGAGAGACAGGTAACCACAGGTTCCTGGCACGGGTGGGGCTATGAAGCTGAGAAATTGACATCACTCTGCCCACTCACTGCCACCTCAGAGGGGCACCCCAAACCCATCCCGCCTCAGCCTTCTCCATCCAACCTGTTGCTCAACCACACATCCCAGCCATCTGAGCTCTTCTTCCTTTCACCCTGCTGGCTCAAACCCCAAAGACAACCTGAGACTGATAGCACTGCAGTCTGAACCACCTACTATCCCCTCTTGCCTCCTAACTGGCCTTCCTCTTTCCACTCTTGTTCCCACTACAATTCCATCTTCACTCTGCGGCCTGTGAATTTTTCAAAACGCAGGGCGGGTCCTGTTGCTCTGATGCTCAAAACCTTTCATGGCCCCCTGGGGAAGCTAGAATAAAAGCCAAACCCCACGCCAACCTCTATAAGGATCGGGTTCGCAACCTGTCTTCCAACGTCACCTGTTTTCTTGGCTCCAGCTACAAACACACCAAACTTCTTCCTGCCTCAGGGCCTTTGCACTTGATGATCTCTCTATTCAGGCCTTTCTTTACATGGCCGACTTCTCTGTCAAACGTCACTTCCCCAGAGGGGCGGTTTTTGATCACTCCAGCTAAAAAGGCTGGCTACCCTGTTTTATCTCACTTCGGATAGTATATCAAACCCCGAAAGTACTGCTTTACCATTATTACCTATCACTTGTCTACTCTCTGTCTTCTCCCCAAGCAAGGGCTTTCTCTGACTTGTTCGGGCTGTAGCTTTTGTTTCTAGAACAGTGCCTGGCACAGGGTACTCGATGTTTAGTGAATAAAGGATGACACCTTGCCCCCATGTGCACCAATTCAGTCCTCCAATGCGTCCGGGATCCCGTCGCCCCAAAGACCCCCCCAGGGTGCATCCCCCAGCTCGCCCCGGGGGCCAGGCGCCCAGCACAAGCGCCCCCCGCACGTCGAGGGCCCCCCCAGACCCAGTCATCTTCCCGCGCGACCCGGCGCACGCTCCCACGACCACCGGCCTTTGCCCGTGTACCGCGCGCCCCAGAGCCAAAGGGATCCCTCCCGTCTCCTCGCCCCTTGCCCCCCTTCCTCAGGCCTCCATGCCCAGCTCCTCCATCCTCCTTCCCTGTCAGGCCGAATCCCTGCAGTCGCCCTACTCCCCTTACTCACCCGCTTCAAACAGCGTTTCCCGCCACAGCCTACGCCGCCTTGACCCCTGACTCCAGCGCGCGCAGGCTCAGAGCCACCGGGCGCGGAGCTGGGCCACGCCCCTCCCGCCCAAGTAGGGCGAGACCACGCCCCACAGGGGCTCGGGGCCGCGCCTCCGCGTTCGACTGGGGATAGGCCACGCCCCATCTTTCCAACTTGGGAGGTGGCCTCTTTCCATTTTCTATAAATTCTCGCCAAACCCCTTCTCGTCTTGACGGAGTGCAACTCCTCCCAAACCACGCCCTCTCCTTACGGTACCTTCGCGGATTTCTGCTATCTGCGCGCGCAGCTGGGCGGCCCGCCACCTATCTTTCCGGCCCCGCCTCCCCGCCCGCCGGCGCCGCGCGCGACTCCTCTGCTTGACCAGGTGCTTTCTGCCGGAGGCTACGTCGGGAGGACTTCCTGGGCGCTGTCCCGCTGGCCACCCGACGTCTGCCCTCCCCGCGGAGGGGAGGTCTGGTCAGCCTCCTGGCTCACGGCCTCAGTTTCCCCAACCGTGAACTAGACTCCGCGCAGGGCGGCCATACCTGGGGGCGCCAGGCAGACTGCTTGCAATGGGACGATGGCTTGTAACTAGTCACTTCCGTCACCATCCCCACCCCCCCAACCCGCTCTAAAAAACATTCCTTTCAGTACCCAGCCCATCCCTCCAAGCAACACCCTCTTCAACCTTAGCCAGGCCTGTGAATCCAGCTCACTGCGGTGACCGCTCAGGGCCTGGCCCAGGGGAAGGAGGAACTAAGAATTGCACAGCCCGACCCGACCGGACTCTGAATTCACCTGAGCCTCTCACCTTCCAGGCTTGGCATGTGCCCTTCCCTCAATTTGGGGGCCAAGCCCCCTCGTACTGCTTTAGGTCCCAGCTGGGTCATGATATCCTGTGTGAGGACAGGACAACACTTCTACCTCTAGGTCCCCACACAGCAGCCTGCTGCCCCCCCCCATTAAAGCCCCTATTCTCTCACCCTCTAGCTGGCCCCTACCGTCCCCACACTGCCAGCCCTGACTGGTAGCCACCTCCAAGGATTTTATCTTGTTCTCCCACGTGTCCAGTGCCTAAAATTATGTTTGCCACATAGTAAGTGCCTCATATATATTTGTTGGACGAATAACATCTGCATCCCCCCCAAGGGCCAGCACAGTTCCTAGCCCACAAGTGGCTTCAGCAAATATTTTTTGCCTAGTGAAAGCCCTGGTCCCTTCATCCACTGAAATTCCCTTTGTCCTTCAACAGGCTCCAACTCACCTTGCACACGGAGAGGACACCAAGGCTGTCAGCCTCTCCTGCAATTCCCCCCTACCCCCTTGCAGAGCCCAGTCACATCACCCTGAACCTTCCACCAGCCTAGTAAAGGTTTGGGAGGCTGGTGTCAATAAAGACCCTGACAGCCCATCCCCTGTATATATGCTAGACTCACTCTGGCTCAGGGCAGATTTCTAGTCATACTTTATTTTCCTGTTTTTGTCTTTTTTTAGTTTTTATTAAATAAAAGGAACACAGAGAGGGGGCCTGTGGTTTCTCAGGCTGTAGGGGAGAGCCACAGGCCCCCCAATCCCTCTGTTCAAGGTGCATTGCGCAGTGAGCTTGAGGTGTAAGCTGGGTGGGGAGGGCAGCTGGTAGTGCTAGGAGAGTCAGAGGTTGGGATCTATGACCCATCCAGCCCTCCCAGGAAGACTCAGTGGGCAGGGAGGGAGCCTCCTGGACCCTAACTGGGCTCATCCGAGGGCTGAGGGCTGGTGTGGCCAGGGCTTGTGCTCTAAGCCACAAGGTGGGACCCCAGGCCTGGCCTCTTCCCACTCCAGGAGGAGGAAGGGGTGACAATGTCCATTCGTTGGAGGGTGCAGGGCTGTGGGGCAGAGTGGCCAGGCCCCTCACTCGTGGACGTCCCAGATCTCAGAGAGCAGAGGCGGTAGCTTCTTGTCTTGGAGCCGCAGGGCAAAGACCTGCTCTGAGTGCACAGAGCTCAGTGTGCGCAGGCTCACAAGCTTCATCAGCATTCGAGGGAAGCGCAGCTGGTCCTGCAGGGGGACGGGAGGAAGGTGGGTGCTGGCCAGGCTCCTGCCTGTGAGGCTCTGGTCAGCCCACCTGGACCACGAGGAGGGCCTCCCTCCCTGGGCTGAGCCAGGACAGCAGTGTAGGGAGTGGCGGGGCAGAGTGTGGGGCCCTCCCACCCCTATGCCTGCACCAGGCCTGGCTCCTTAGTCAGGGGACAGAGGCCTGAGGACAGACTCTAAGGAGAGGACATCAACCAGAGCTCAGAGTGGCTGCCAGGGGATCCAGGCTCAGACGAGGAAGCAAGACCTCAGCCCCAGGCTGACTCCACGTGGGCGTGGACTTCCTGGCCCTGCCAGGGCCTCAGGAGGGGCTGGGCTCTGGGTAGCTCCAGGAGCCGCATACCTGTGGCCTCTTGATGCGCGTGTAGGAGAGCAGGGCCTCCACGTAGGGCTGCTGCAGGGCCTCGACGCGGCTCGGCTCCTGCACGTTGGGCCGGTCAGCCGAGAAGATGTTGATGGCAATGAGGAGGGCGTACTCGGCGTCGTCCAGGCCCAGCCGCCGCATGGCCCGTGAGAACTCGAAGATGGGGTTGATAAACTCCACCTGCAGGCCTGTGGGGGCAGGAGGCCTGGCCTGATAAGCTCCCCCAGCCCCAAACTGGCCCCACTCTCGGGTCCCGACGCTGCTTAGTCAGTGGGGTGAGGAAAACGGCGGTAATTCTAGTGTCCTTGTCATGTCTGTTCACTGGTGTCCCCACTCAGACGAGCACCCGGCACATGGTTAAGTGTGCCCTAGCCCTTGCCTGAATCGAGCAATGAGTAACGAGAGCGAACATTTATTCAGTATTTCCTGCTACCCCATCCTGCCTTCCCTGTACCTAAGGAAAAGGAAGGATTTTTCAACCTAGGTCACGCTGCATCACCCTGCAGTGGCTTCCGTGGCTTAGAGTAAAGCCTAACCTCATTCCCAAGAGTGGTTCATTAATTCAGTCATCAAACTTCATCAAGCACCTACTAATGTGCCAAGCCCCGGGGTAGAGCCGTTTCCAATTCAGAGCCTCCCCTCCTGTGGAACTTGCATTTGCAGGTTGAGAGGACGGACGAAGCAAACACGTAAGTAAACCATCCAGCCTGTCACAGGGATGGGCGCTGCTGGATCAAGGTTAACGCACAGAAGGGTAACGGGGGCACTGAGAACCAAATCAACATCTTAGACAAGGTGGCCACTGCCAGGTGACACTGTAGGAAGGCCTCACTGTAGGGGGACCTTTGAGGGACAACCCAAAGGAGCGGAAGCGACGAGTCCCGAGGATGTGTGAGTGCTCCAGGGGGGTACCACCTGTCTGTTCTGCCCAGAATTGGGCAGCTTTGTGGGCCTCAAGACTTTCAATGTTGAAACCACGAAGCTCCCACGCAAACCAGGATGAGCTGGTCACCCATGTTGGCCGAGGGACCAGCAACTACAAATGCCCTGAAGTGGGAGCACAGCTGGTGGGTTCAAACCAAAGGAAGGAAGCCAATGTGGCAGAAGGAGGGTGACCAACGGGAGGAAAGAGCGGAGAGGTCCCTGCAGGGCCTGTGGGCCATGGCAAGGACTCTGGCTCGTCTCCCAGTGAGACAGGAGCCATGCAGGGTACGGAGCAGAGGAGGGACATAAGCTGACTTGGTATGAACAGGACCCTTCTGACTGCTGTGTGAACAGACACATTCGGGAGAACCCAGTGGGGGCACCCGGCAATGTTCCTGGGAGAGACGTTGGACAGTGGCAGAGCATGGAGGGAAGTGGTAGGACCCCAACTTTCTCTCCAGCCCCATCTCCCTGTGCTCCAGATGCCTGGGCCTCCCTGTAATTCCAGCTCTTCCCTCACCTCAGGGCCTTTGTACATGCTGAGCCCCCTGCCAGAAACATTCTCCCCGCCCAGTGCTCCCCTATCATGCTCATACTCACAGCAGGTTGAGATGGTCAGGGATTAGAGGAAGGGAAGAAGATGGGGTTAGGAACGCACATGTGAGAGTACAGACAAGTGCCCCAGGAAGAAATGATGGGAGAGAGCAGGACTTACAGAGGAAGCTGAGACGGAAGAAACACAGCCTTTTTGTACATGGGGTTCCCTGGTGGGCAATGCTAGTCCCCAAATCCCTTTTCCCTAATCGCTGACGTATCTCACTGCCTCAGGCCTCAGTTCAACTGCACTTCCTCCAGAAGCCCACTGCCTAGGTCACATCCCTAGGTAAGAGCTCTTGGAGGGCAGGGACCAGGACTGCCCTATATAGTTGAGCCGCGTCCTTCACAACAGACTTGAGATCCAGCCTCCCTACAGTGACACCAGGTTTTGGGAAGAAGGAGTGTCTTCTCTTAATTTGTATTAAAATGTCCTGTGTGAGAGCAGAAACCCCTCTGCCTCGTCCTGCGCTGCATCCCCCTGCGGAGGCATGACACTCAATACAGACACCCTTAACTCAACGCGAGGCTGGCTCACCCGGCTTTGGAAAAAAGGAATGGAGGCTCAGACAAGAATGAGGCGCCCAGCAGGGGCACCGGCCCTGCACCCTCCCAGCCCACTGCGCCGTACCTGCGCGGTGGAAGTCATCCTTGCTATAGGTGAAGTCCTTCAGGAAAGTGATGCACTCCGTCTCATGGTTGTAGCGTCTGGCTGTCTCTAGCAGCATGATCTGGGGGCGGCAGGGACAGGAGTAGGCAAGGGTAGGGGCTCCAGGAGTCCCTATGACCCTTTAGCCACTGGTCTCTCCTCTCGTGGCCTGTGGGGGGGAACCTAATCCCACCAGGATCATCCCTCGCCCCTCTGCCCCTGCCCCTGTTCCTTCAGCCACCCCCGCCTGCAGTCAGCGTGTCAGACACTCCAAGCTCTCTCTCCTGCGGGTTTAGTGCCCACGGCACCCTCCATGTAGGCTTTCACCGCCCCCCAGCTGGTTTCGAGGCATGAGGACACTGTCTTTCGTTCACTGCCACATACCCAGCACTTGGAATGGAGCCCGGTATACGCTACGAACTCAATGCCGATTTGTTACGGTGGCTTTGGTTTAAATGTCAACTCTCCC